GATAAATAATATTGCTGTGGAACTTTTTTTCATGAGAGTATAATAGTCTATAGAGTATTCTGTTTGGTGGAATAGTGAAATAGAAGTCAATATGTTCTTGCTCAATCTTTTGTCGCTTTGAAGGTGTCATAATTGTCATCCTTAGCCTAAGCAATGTGTTACTGTAATTTGAATTTCAAAATGACTGAGAGACGGTTTTTGACGTACTGGTCAACTCCACCATAGCGAATCACATGACTTTGACAATCAGTAAATTCCAGCGAAAATATCTTTATAAGTAAAGGATGATCGCGTAAAAATTAGACCATAGAGTACAAGGGAAATGGCAAAGTTCACGAAGTCTAGTCTGATATATCGATAAAAAAAAAAAAGCCCGAGCAAAGGAGGGGGGGGGGGGGGGGGGGGGGGGGGGGCGTACGCCCTCTACGCCCCCCTCTGGATCCACCACTGATTAAATTACCCAATGATGAATTAGACAACACATAATATGCATAAAAACATATACCAGACCTCAAATTTGACAAAACATAATAAAACAATGCTAGCGGTTTTATAATTTCTTTATTCACACGAATCTTTTCTCCTCTGCTGTCTAATATACCTATTTATAAGGAAGGGATAGAAGTGAGACCGAAGATCTTCGGACCCCCCCCCCCCCCCCCCCCCCCCCCCCCCCCACACACACACACACACAAATAAATAAAAGGCCACGCCGACCGCAGGACACAATTTTGAGCTTGACACAGTAATTTGCTGGACATTAAAATGGCTACAAAATGGTAAAATTCACTGTCTTTTCCTACATGTTCTCATCATAACATAAATACAAATGAAGAAGTTCAATATGTTTGGCCTTTGACCCCCTTTTGATCCCTCGTTTTTTTTTAAACGGTGGACGCTATCTCAATAAAACACCCCAAGTCTATAACATGCAGTCTTTTTGTCGAGCATCTGACAAATTCTTAACTTGTATTCAGATATAAAATGTTCAGATAAAAGAAAAATGGTTTTTGAATTTCAAAACGAACCCCCCCCCCCCCCCCCCCCAACAAAAAAATATATATATATATATATATATATCAGTTTTCATATATAATGAATAGAAGCAAGTAACAACCTCAACATGTATATGTTCAACCGGATCTCTATGGCTACAAAGTCCAAAATATTATTATAAACGTCTGAGAAATCAGGTTTGGGTTTGATCTGATGTAGCATTCTCAAGTTAGCATCCTGAAACCAAAATTTTCTTGAAATTACAAACTATTTTAAGCCAATGTAACCTTGACATTAGGGGTAGAGACCCCAAAATCAATAAGGTTCTTCCTCTTGTGATCAGGTTTGATCTTATGTAGGATACTCAAGTTATCATCTGGAAACCAACAGATGGACAAGGGTAAACCTTAATGCCCCCGACCGCCTAGCTGCGGGGTCATAAAAACACATAATTTAAGAATCAAGTCGGAAATGTGCCAAGTATCTATTGATTCTATTGAGGCATCTCCCAGAACTAAGCCGGACAAAATTATTGGAAGTATAATAATAACTGGAATTTCCATTGCGAGCAATGTCGCCCTTGGCAACCATTTAGATGGATGCATCTTTGATGAATTACAAAAAATCAAGTCGTTCTTATCCAAAGAATCGATTGATACTTGGCACACAGTTAGACCACCATGTGCAGTTGTGCATGCTAATAAATTGTTTTTCAAAAGGGCCACCATATCCAAGATGGCCACCAAAATGCGCTAAAAAATTGGGGGTTCATTATATAGAAAACTGCCCTGCAGAATTTCACAAAACGTTGTGTGAATCTTTATTAGGATGAGTAAAAGGATTTTATGCCAAAAAAATGTGATCAGTTTTCAAAATGGCCTCCTAAATCAGCAAAATTAATCTTTGTCAGATTTCTATGTAGATTTTGATGCTGCGAACAAGTAATGATTGTGTTTGGATGCAAACACTGATTGTGTTTGGATGCAAACACATAAGTCACCCAAATGATCCCAATATCAGATTCATGGCATTATAAAGTCATTGGTGGTCGAATTTGAAAGATTTATGTTAAATGTCATCAAGTTTGGAGCATTTTTGATTTTCCTAACTTTTTATCGTTTTCGTGGCAATGGTCACCATTTTGAAAATTCCAAGACCAGAAACCAATTTGACGCATGTCAGACAACTTTTCTGTAAAGTTCCATCCAATTCTGAGCACTTTTAATTTTCTCACTTTTTTTACCTAGTTTCCATGACAACAATCCCCATTTTGTTTTAGCTTTTTTGTGTGTTGTCTTTGTTAATGGACTTATGAACTTAAGAAATCGCTCTTACATTGGCAACTCAGGATAATTTTTTTCAATCTTTCAAACTCCCTTGGAAATCCCCTCTTTTTACTTTATATTTGATATATTATTCCTCTAATTTTAGGTTCAGAGATACAGGTTACGGGAAAGTCTGCACCGTATAAATGAACATGGTATTCAGGAAAGAAGGCAGGGTAGGTTGAGCAGACGAGTATACAGTGTAGAGTCAGCAAATAGATTGTGGCATATAGACACAAACCACAAATTAATTCGGTGGAAGTTTGTAATTGCAGGAGGTGTAGATGGTTTCAGTAGATTGATAACATTCATGAGGTGCCTTGACAACAACAGAGCACCAACGTTGCTTGAATGCTTTAAACAGTCTGTTGTTCGGTATGGACTTCCAACTAGAGTGTGGTCAGATAAGGGAATGGAAAATACCCTCATTGCAGATTATATGATCCAACAGCGGGGTATTAGTAGGAGAAGTATGATAACAGGAAAGAGTGTGCATAACCAGCGTATTGAACGCCTCTGGAGAGATGTTTATGCTGGTGTGTTGTCTTATTACTATAACCTTTTTTATCACATGGAAGATATTGGGTTACTAAACCCACTGGACGAGCATCATTTATTTACTCTACACCATGTGTTTATGCACAAAATTAATGAGAAATTGGAGATCTGGAAAAACGCGTGGGACAATCACCGCATTCGCACTGTACATATATCACCTATGCAAATGTTCACTGCAAGTGTGATGAATGAAACTGTACAAGTAGAGCAAATTCATAATGACACGACCAATGACAACGATGTACCAGGTGAAACAATTGATGGTGTACACCTGTTAGGGTTAGATATTCAGTTATATCCAATGTCTATGGTTCAACTAAATGAGAACTGGTCAAAGAACTGGATATCAGAAGACTATGGTATCGACATTTACAGACAAGCAGTAGAAATTTTACAACATCAATAAATACATATCAAAGGTACTAGGCTTATAATTTATATTACACCAGACTCGCAATTCGTCTATAAAAGACTCATCAGTGACGCTCGAATCAAAATAATTGAAAGGCCAAATAATTAACAAAGTTGAAGAGCATTGAGGACCAAAAGTTCCAAAAACGTTGTGCCATATACGGCTAAGGTAATCTGTGTCTGGAGGTAGAAAATCCTTAGTATTTTAAACATTTCATAGATTTCAAACATTAAATTTATAAGGCACTGAAAAATATAGCTCTACTAGATTTTGCCCCAAAGTTTCTGTTCATCAGTTTTATTAAGGGTATTCTTAACCATATTATGAAATGGACAATAACTAAAAGACTGATGGTGGCATTCATTAATTAAATGAATTCCTGTAATTCAACCAGATTACATACCTTTGAACTTTGTGTAAAAATAAATGTACAACATACATATTTTAACTTTTGAACTAAGTATAGTTTTGTGATCTTGCACACCACAAAACATTTTTTACAAAAGAGCAGTGAAGAAGGCACTAAATTTTGTTTACATCTTTTCTCTAGGACACAAAAAAATCATCTTTAATAAGAAATATCAGTTAGTAAATACCAAAAAGACTTGGACTATTTGAAGTCATGAAAGTTTAGGATAAACCATAATATGTATTACTAAATGCAAAGTCAAACAAATTGTTCAAAAGTTTGTCTGATGGTAATTCTCCATTTCCTTCGGGTTCAGTGAGAAACAATCTGTTAATGCAGGTGTTTGCTGTTGGCATGAATGATTCTCTTTGTACAAAGTTGAGTGAAGGTTGAAGTGTAAAACCCAAGATTGGTTCTTCTTCCGAACTTGTTGCAAACATGAGAATATGGCGGAGAGTAAGATTACCTCTTCTTCCAGCTAAAAAAGAAAAACAGGTATCAGACTGTTACTCCAAATAAATTAAGCATGTCTGATAAATGAAAGATACTGTTATTGATTTTGGGGTTGGCTCACCAAAAATTAAGATCGCATACAAACATTTACATGTACATGAACTTAATGTAAAAGAATTTAATGGAGTGCTATTGTCATCACTTGGTTGTAGTATACATCGTTCACCAATATTCAAAAATCTTCTCCTCTGAAACCACAGGACAGAGTGAACCCAAACTTGGTACATGTATAAATGTTGATAAAGATATTCTGCACAGAATTTGAATTTTTTATGTACACCAAACATAGCAGCTTTTATGATGACAAATTATAATATTCAGATATACTAGTTTTACTTCAGTTTCAATGTTGTTTGTAACTGTATTTCAGCGATGAGGAGCACACTTTAAAAGGGGAAATTAAGAAGCAACAATAAATTATTTATGATAAAGGAAAATTACTTAAAATAGCTTATTGATAAAAACATCAAAATCTACAAAAAAAAGATTCAGGGTCAAATTTGAAGCATGACCCTTTTCCAAGATAAAACCCAAAAATTGCATTTTTTTTCTTATTTTTTATCTTTAATGTTATTCTATTAATTTATTTTCTCCTCTAAAACTTTAAGGTTAATTGTAACCAAACTTGGTGTGATTGTAACTGTTTCTGATGCTTGTCAAAAGGTGGGGTAACTAGCAAACACACTGATTTGCAATTAAGTCAGTGTGTATATCAGACTCCTGGGAACCTCTGGTCTTTCTCATCAAGCCTTTATTTCACTAATATATTCTTTTTTTATTCAATACCTTATATTTGTGATATTTCATATAATTAGTTTTTTCTTATTTTTCTTTATTTATGATATCTATGTGTTGATTTTGAGATATTCTTTGTTTCAATAAAACATTAAAATAACATGATACTCTTCAGAATTGATTATTTATTGCATACTGGCTAACTACTTTATGCAGGTAGCATGTAACAATCTTTTCCCTAAATTGATTAAACCTTGTTGTAGTAAGTATTTGAATGTAATTGAAGATATTTTTCCTTCCTATATCTAATACAGTGGCTAAAGGTCAACTACTTATCTGATAAGTCAACCTCCAAAACTAACAACGAAGGAAAGAACCAGGTTCAAGCATTGAGATTATTCTCAGTATCCATCGGTTTATGCTCAAAGTTGTACTGTAACTTTGCATCTCTGTCATTTGACCTCAACCTTGAAATTCTGGTTGACATTTTTTTTAGGAATTTTCAATAAGTTTGATGGACTCCTCAATATCTCAAAGACTACATTTACATTGAGGCGTGGTGTAGGGGTTAGAGCATCGGACTACTAACACAAAGGTTCCTGGTTCGATCCCCGTTCCGGGGAGTAAATTTCAGGGACTGAATTTTCGGCTCTCCCTCGACACCATTTGCGAGTATTGTCTTGAGATTTTTATCGTCCCCATCCGACGGACTAGCATCGTTTCTGAGAAACGATGCTAGTCCGTTGGATGGGGACGATAAATGGCTGACCCGTGTGAGAGAGAGCAATATCTCTTGCACGTAAAAGACACCCTTGTAGATTTCGAAAAAGAGTAGGCTAATGCTGCTACAAGGACAGCACTTGCACCCGCAAAGTGGAGAGGGATTTATATAATTTGTAATAACTTGTTTCCCAATCCACTATAAATAAATGTTTAAACTAAACTACAATTACAAACCCTAGATTTTTAATACTGGGTACACTTGTGCACCACTATTTTTAGTAGTACATTTTCCTCTCCTTCTTTTGACCTTGAATTTCCAATTAAGTGACTTTGACAATCTCTATAGTTATGTGTTGAAGTTTGATAAGCATATTGATATTTACTTTTCTTAAAGTTCCTCTAAATAAGGGAAGACATTTAGTTTATGTTTAATACTATTAAATGGAACATTATAATATGTTTGCATTGCTTTGGCAGATTGTTGATATCTGATGGTTTCAACAGGTGTGATGTGAGATACTTTAGTTTCCAGATGATAGTGTAAATGTAAAACAGGCACTAGTAAATGTATATGCAATGCTTACCTGCTACTTCTTTTAGGTATTTTACAAATTTCTTGTAAATTATCAATTGCCTGATTTGTCTGTTTGAACCTTCTGGTGCAAAGGCAGGTTTAAACAAAGTTGTAATAATTTTCAGGTTGAATGGTCAGGACCCTGGCGTAAAAAGATGGACCAAGGATGGCAACTCCTTCACCAACTGAAATAAATGCCTCTATTTATATATGTACTGTATTTTAATTAAGCTGTCACATTATCTTGTGACTTGTTCTTAAATTAGGATTTACATCATTGTATGTTGAGAGAGTTTCATGTAAATAATTCCAATGTTGCATGTTATTTTAAATTTCATTGGTTAAAGACATCTTAAAAATAAATCCTTTGATCAATATGAAATAATCCAACAATATTTTATTTTTAAAATGATGTTCGACAAAACTGTTCAGAAAGTTTGATGGAACTATAGGAAATAAAGATCATGCCGTGCAAAGTATACCCCCACTCATTCCTGTCTTGTTTAGACATAAGTTTATGAAGTAAGAGTTGGGTATGGGAAATCAAAGTAAATACCAATTCGACATTTAGAAAATTTCAAAGTATCTGCAAACAGAAGGTGGCTGGGGGACAGATCTGAAAATCGCTGACACGGTTCAACTCACCAATAACAATCTATAGACCAAATCATAAATCATTCCTTTAATTAACAGCTGAGAAATCCTTGACGAAAATTTTTCAAAAGTTTTGACATTTTGAAAATTTCAAAGTTTCTGCAAACAGGAAGTGGCTAAGTAACAGATATGAAAATCGCTTACATGGTACAACTCACCAATAACAAGCTTCAGACCAAATATCAAATCCTTTCATTAATAATAGCTGAGAAATCCTTGTCGAAAAATTTTCAGAAGTTTTGACATTTTGAAATTTCAAAGTCTCTGCAAACAGGAAGTGGCTGAGTTACAGATCTAAAAGTCACTTACACAGTACAACTCACCAATAAAAGGCTTCAGACCAAATATCAAATAATTCCTTTTATTAACAGCTGAGAAATCTGACGAATATTTTAATTGGATGACGGACTAACGAGGTGATTGCACCAATCTGACGAGTGGGGGTATAATCTTATGGATGTGTAAATTTGGGTATTTACTCACAAACTTTACATAGAGTCATTTGAACTAAAGGTGGCTAAAGGGAATTATTCCACAATTTGTTTGTAAAATAATGATTCATTAAGGTTACATATGTTTAGAAAATTAGCAAAATAATTATTTAATTCAAAGAAAGCACCAAATTATTTTAAACTCATAGTTCTTTATTCCATCTGCAATATTTTAATTAAAAATGAAACAATAAAAAGCAAAAGATGTGAGTCTTGTCCTTATTTTAAAGGACAACAGGATTTATGCAAGGGGGTAATTTGATAAAATATCTTGAATTGATCTCACAAGAGAACAGTGTTTGCCAAATACCATCAGTCAAAATAAGGCCGTGGTCCGACATACATCACTGATCTACCTGTCAAAATGTCCGGTAAACAAAAATCTTCTTCTCAAGATACCGCTTAGTCAAAACCATTTCAAATAAGGTATCAAACTGCAATTATGACAATCATCTGGTCGATTTGTTAATGATTGTATTTTCTGTCAAAAATCTTCTGCGAAATGACGCCTTCAATAGCTGTGGCTTAATCAGTCATCATACAGAAAAATACTTTGTATTGGATTTCGGTTAATACAGATATATTGTACGGCTGGTTTACTCCACGTTTTTGCTTACAAGCAATCAAAATTTTCTCAGTTTCTCACATGCATTATTAATATACAAACCGACCACGTTTATTATCGGTTTTTTTTTCCTAATATCGGTTGAGAAGGGTGAAAATGTCATAGGAATAGAGAAACAAGAGGGTTCTCAAAAAGCCTGTATCGCTCACCTGGACCATGGCTCGTGAAAGATACTATCAAGATTTGCTCCGTAGTTTCAGAAGAGAAGATCTTTGAATGTGTTCCCATGGGGTCCATTGTTAAACTATGCTCCCCCTGGAGGCCATCTTGTATGGGGATGCGGGCCTGATTGACACCTTTTCAAGGAGGACCATCCAAAGACTATTGTGAATAGGTTTGGTTCCAATTGGTTTTCAAAGGAAAAAATCTTTGAATGTGTTCCCATAGGGTCCAATGTTAAACTATGATCCATAACCAGAATACAAAGTGATTTAAAAGCCTTATAAGAGCTAACCTGTAACAAACCAAGTGCATTTAAGCCATTTCTAAGGTCTTGGATTACTGGCCTGGGTCTGGAACTTTCAAACAATTCCTCTAACTGTTCAACACTAAGCAGCTTGGGGAGTGGTCCATTTTGAAGAAAAGATAATGCTAAAAAAGCAATTCTTTATACATTCTATTACTAATGAATGGGTTTCAGTAATATCATTTATGTTTGAACTTACAGCAGTACAGTTTAGAAAATGTCTTAAATTGTGCCTATTGCATTCAATAAAATAAATTGGATTTAAAATCTTTTCAGTGCAAAATGATAAGACTTTTTTCTTGAAATTAAAAATATTCAATGCTATTATGATGAACTAATCAGATGTAATAGAAGTCTCCCATCAACTTTCAAGAGCAGTTTTACTTTCAATTTTGAATTTCTAATTAAGTGAAAAATAAAACGAATAAATAATGAATACGGTAAATAATAATTATAAATGCTTCAAAATTTTCATTTATTGTAATGATCAGCTTGATGCTATATTATTTACAATAAGAGGCTTTCAGGAGTCTTAACTGCTCATCTTAAATTTATTGCACATAAATTAAGGACCGGCCAGCCCTCATCCTGAGGTGCAGCACCCTATAGTTCTCTTTTTGTCCCTGTGTTCAGATCCGTCTGTCTATCCATCAACAAGCCTTCTGATTGCAAAATCTCAAAAACTTAAAACCATATTATTCTTAAATTTGGCACACTTATTAAGCATTATATTAAGATGTGCATATTACATTTTATTGAAAGGAGTAGGTCCAGTAAGTTCCACTTTTGGTCCAAAAATTGAACTACATTTAAAAAAAGATTTGAGACAATTTTCATAGACTTAAATGTCTATTACATTGGATTTGATTAATTTAAAGTAAAAATTATAACCAATTTCATCGTTTAAGGCTCTCAAATTAGGCTACACTATGGAAAATCAGTAAAAAATGTCGAAAAACTTCAGTACTTTACTCAACTTTAGTACAGGACGCATGTGCAGAGTATTGACAAAACCTGTTCTGGTTATTTAAATGTGATCATTTTACTAAACAATTACTAACTTAAAGTAAACTTTCATTGATTTTTAAAAGATGTATAATTTATGGGGCTAAAAGTGGGTCTTACAGGACCTTCTCCTTTGAACAAATAGTTTTGGTAAAAAAATTGTTTTTCAGCAGAAAATTACAAAATCTAGTTTACAGCAAGTCTTAATTTACATTCAATTACAAGTAATATAATTACCAAATATTTTTCCAATTACAGTATAGTCTGGAGACCATTCTCGTAGTGGTGAAAAGTACACCACTATCCCATACTTAATGTATGTCTATGGCTGCCAAGTGACTCTGAATTTTAGCAATAGCAGCCAAGTGACTCTGAATTTTAGCAATAGCATGCTGCAAGTTTCCGCAAATCGGTATTTAGCATTACTGCATATGCTAGATCAATGGTATTTAGTATGCAGTTGCATAAATAAAAATAAGATGAAAACGCTTATTGTTATTTCTGTACTTATTCTGACTTGGTTTTTACTTTTAAAATTTGTAGCATGCAAGGCAAGTATTAATTTTTACAAATGTACTGCTTCCTGGAATGTAAACAAAAATCATTTGTACCGGTTCTAGGGACCCGTAGAAATTGTATGCTACCGTCCCCCTACCGATTCCTGTATCAATTTTGACAAATCAGGTTTTATGATAGCAATTTGAAGGTTTTTTCTGTAACTTTATAGAGTATTTTGGTTATTTCTTGTACAGACAATACAGTAGTACAGACACCATCATAAATCCATGAATGTCTGGTTAAAAGTCATTTTCCAAAAACAGGTGTGCAGACCTATTAACGGAACCAAAAGTTTGTACGTTACGCAATCATGCAATGTACCGGTTCCAGGTCCCTAGAAATCGTATTTTTATTGCTTCCAGGGACTGAAGGAATGTTTGATACCGGTGTCCGAAAAAAGTTCCATTTTGAAAAAAGACACACAGTAGCTATAATTTTATCGAATTTCCAAGATGTTTGTCAATAGTAAACTAGTTGTACATGTATTACTTTTTATGACTACAGACTGTTACCTCTCCAAGAAACTGAACTTCTAAAGTCAGTCTGAGATCAGTGATGGCCTCAATATCCTCAAAGGCAGACTGAAGTATGTCTGACCTATCAACTAAAATGAAGTTAGTCTCTTCTTCAATTGTGGATGACTCATCCTGGATATCAAGATCTCTGCCATATACCATCTTGCTCTGAAAGAATCTCAGGATGTCTTCAGGATCTTTCATTCCTGTCTCTGTACAGTGGGACACACATTCTGACACAATGCTGGTAATGATATTTTCCATGTTTGTTTTAACTGTGTTTTATTGCTCTCCATCTCTTACTCCTTAAAAACAAAGAAATCATCTGTGTGCTGCTATACCAGGTTGCATATCCCCTCTTTGGATAATCCCCAAAAGCTTGTTTATATTTTGAAAATACATGAAATACTTCTTTTTTAATGTTAGAAATTTAAAGGAAGCAAGTAGTAAATGGAACCACAGACATGACAGAGTTGTTTATTAAAAAGTACATGCATTATATAAAGTTCCTGCCCAGCACTTGAATTTTTCTGCCCAGCTCATGGGATAGTGAAAAAAATATGCGCCCAGTATACAATTGCACCGACCCAGCAATCTGATAAATATTACACAGATGAATGTTTGTGTCATATTTTGATATTAATATAATTTTTATATTGTTATTGCAGAGTACATTTTCTACAACAGACAATAATAATTGGATCACTTGTAGTTTGCAACCACAATACTGGAATACCAGTATTGTCCACAATACAAAAAAAAATGAAAAAGAAAAGTTATTGATTATAGAAACATGCACCATTGACAAACATATAAAATAGGGGAATCGAGCACTTATTTTGCAAATAAATCTAAAAATACACCTGTACGTCATTGGTGTTACTGTCAATGGTGAGACCACTTTAATAAAGTAACACCATTGACCAGTTTAGTAACACCACTGAATATGTTAAGACAATCAGTATTTTTTTGTGTTTCTTTCATATAAAAAAGAAGATTTGGTGTAATTGCCAATGAGACAACTCTTAACAAGAGACCAAATGACACAGAAATTAACAACTATAGGTCACCGTACGGCCTTCAACAATGAGCAAAGCCCATACCGCATAGTCAGCTATAAAAAACCCCGAAATGAAAAATGTAAAACAGTTCAAACGACAAAACTAACGGCCTAATTAATGTACAAATAAATGAACGAAAAACAAATATATAACACAGTAACAAACGACAACCACTGAATTCCAGGCTCCTGACTTGGGACAGGCACAATCATAAATAATGTGGCGGGGTTAAACATGTTAGCGGGATCCCAACCTGCTTTTAACAACCGAAACATCATATAATTTATGAAATAAATACTTATTTAACAATGTTTTATCCATAAAATGTATTACCTATACCAAGTTTTCACAAACTGGTGTATGCTGGTAACACCAATGACACTATTTAGTAACACTATTGACATTTTTAGTTATTGATGTAATGTTATATAATTTGGGATTTTTTAGCCTAAGAATTATTTTTTTTTCTTTTTCTTTTGCTTAGTGTTCTTTGTTTTGTGTTCAGTACCTTATAAAAGTACAATTTGAAATTTGTTGTCAATAGTGATTCTTTTGTGTCATGAGAGTTACTGAAGGGTCAGTGATGTTACTTTATAAAAATGCAATAATTTTTATTTTTTATTAACAAATGAAAGTTTTTTTAGGCCGAATACGAAGAATTAGGCATTATCTAATCATTCAGTCTTACACATTTTACATATATTCAGTTTTAGTGTATTCATTAATATTAACAACGGCCATAATTAGAACAGCCAAGTTTTTTACAACAATTTATTCTAAAATTTATGATTAAATAGAATGCATACCTATAAAAATAATGTCAATAAATAGTAATTTAAACCTTAAAAATGTGCGTTGCCGAGCGCAGCTGGATCTGAACGCAGAGTTCCAATCCTGAACAGTTTGGGCAAAAATGGACACAATATTGAAGATTGATACAGGTCTGAATTTGGATTTTAATTAAATATTTGACACATTATAGGTTTCTGTCACAGAATAAATGTAGTCAAAGAACGTGATCTTGGTTAAATGATTTGAATTTATTTTCAATTGAAGATTTCATGCTGTTGTGTAATACACTCTGTGCTGTTGCGCAATACTGAGTAAATCTATTTTTAGACTATATTGAAAGAAATAGCAAAAGAAATTGTGAGAAAAACCTAAAATTTAAAAAAAAAAAAAAAAAAAAAAATGCCCCCCCCCCCCCCCAAAAAAAAATTTACCCCTGATTTTTTTTGGGAAAAAAATGGTTATTTCTTAAATCTTGAAGAAAAAAAAATTGCCCCGAAATTTTTTTTTTTACACCCCACCGCCGCAAATTTTTTTTGATGAAATTTTATTTTTGAAAAATGTGGTACAATTTAAGAGATATCCACACTTTAACACAAGTTATTGTCTAGAAAAAATTTTGTTTTTGGCCCCTCCTTCCTGAACTATTTTGGCAAATACCCCAAAAATCAATCCAAACCTGTTACTTGTGGTATTGAACCTTGTGGTACAATTTCAGAGCAATAAAAAAACTTATTCACAAGTTATTGTCCGGAAACTAGAAAAATGCTTCTTTTTGGTCATCTTTTGGCCCCTTATTCCTAAACGATTAGTACCATTACCCCCAAAAACAATCCCAACCTTCCTTTCATGGTATTGAACCTTTTGGTTAATTTTCATAGAGATCCATACACTTAAAGTTATTGTCCGGAAACCAATCTGTCTACGGACGACGACGACGTGATAGCAATATACAAACGCAAATTTTTTGCGGTGGTATAACAACAAATTGGAACAGTTGTTTGGTATTTAAAATAGGAAACTCCTAATTTTTCCTATTGCATATTTCTGAATATAGTTGCTACCATATTATAGAATATCAGGACATATTTTAATTTTCAAATCAGAGACATCATTTTCATACATGCAATCATACCTGGAGAAATTGGTTCCAAGACTTCCACAACTTGGGGCTGTTCAGTCATATTGTCATTCAATGTTGACTGAAGATCAGGTGTGATTGATGCTAAGGTCTGACTTTGAGAGGTTGCAGATGTGGATGGTTCTGTAGTTGAAGAATGTCTGTGAGATGGTGCAAGATCAGGAAGTTCATCTGATTCTGAGTTTGGCCGTGCAGAACATATTTTTAAACGATCTCTCAGCATTCTAACATTCATTTTGTTGTCACAAAATTCACACATTCTAGAGTATGTATCATCATTTGGCTCTGGTGTGGAAGGTGAAGTTTCAAGATCATTTTGGATTGGGCGTAAATCAATTTTTGCCTGTTGTCCTATATATTGGCGAATAGACTCTGGCTTCCAATTGCATTCTAAAACCTTCAAGTTTCTACAGTTTTGTGCACATCTAAGCAATTCAAAACCACCTGGTTTTTTAAGTTGAGGAAACTCTTTCTCAAGACAATTAAAAAATTTCTCCTGTGAGCTGTAAAGGTCTATTGTAACTCGGTGTGACCCAAGACCACATCTCAAAAGCACCATTTTTTCTTCACCAATTGGTATTGTGGTCTGATTTCTGCTGGCAAGACATACAAATGTGCCAGTCCATTTTTTCAAAGGTTTCTTTCCTTTTTTTCTGCCTTTGTTCATTAGGACGTCCAAATATGAGGGATCTTTCATTAGATATCGAAGCAAGACTCCTCTGATGATTTTCTGCCAAGACAATGGAAAAATAGAATATATTTAATTTTTAAGAGATAGTCATTTATTTGGAATGCACAAAGTATAGAAAATAGTATATAAACATTCATTGGTTTATGTATTCTGTCTCTGGAGGAGTCTTTCAGTAACATTTAGATTTTTTTTAGATCGTCTCCAGAGACAGGAGGCAATAATAAAAAAATCCAAATATTAACATCAGCATCAAGAGACAGAATTTGGACTAGAGTTCAGGGCCTAGTGAAACTTGCGATTGAGTGTTATTTTTAAAAACTGAATCTACAGAGACTTCTCTGGGTATTTTTATAAAAAGTTTAAAAGCATTTCGCACTGACGTATACATAAAATTGATGTTGTTGCATTTAGTAATAATTGTGGGTCATGATGAAAATCATAATTTCGAAGTTAATAATTTGAAAAACAATCCAGGTTGATACACTAAGCTGTCAACAAGCCAGAATCCTTTATATGTGCAGTCTAGAAATTCAGTATCATTTGTTTATATTGCACCATGCCAGATTTTCATAAGGCCGGACTGTTATACATCTGCATTAACTCGAAAGGTAGTTACCTCCCCTTTCAACGTTAAATCCCAATGTTAAATTTGAACAAGTTTTGATGTAAACGAGGGTGGTACAGGGTTATTTTCATACATGTGTGTTTGGGTTTTTAGCTCACCTGACCTGAAGGGTCGTGTGAGCTATTGCCATCACTTGGCGTCCATTGTACCGTCTGTCTGTCCGTAAACTTTTCACATTTTGATCAACTCCTCCCTTACTTACCAAATTTTAAGTAGCGAACTTGTTGCAAATATGTGGCAAACATGTCGCGAATGCTGTTATTCGCTGTTAGAAATTGCTAGATATTCGCAGTTAGCTGCATACATTGTGCGAACAATTTGCCAGAAAGCAAAAATGCTGTGAATACATAATATAAAAATATGTTGACAGAAGATATTTTCAAAAGTACTGAATATAAAGACAAATCTACTCAATAGAATAATTTACCTACTGAACATAAAGCCAAAACTGCTAAGTATATTGATTAAAGTGCTGAATATAATACCAGATCTGCACAATATAATGATTATTCTACTGATCATTATGATGTTACTGCTCAACATAATTGTTATACTACTGAACATAATGAAAAGGGCACTCATAATCGAGAAAAAACCGCTGAAAATAATTAAATGATCACAGCATATACTAAATATGAACAACGGAAGACAGCTATGGCGTTCCATAGTTTACGTTACTGGTAGAGAGGGTTCGGCCTGTGCTTTCGCTCCAGGATACTGACAATACAAGTAAAGAATAAATTCAATAAATGACAGGTATAAGAAACCTAAAAAAGACCAGAGATGACGATTTTGCCAAGCAATGTATTTGCTCATATAATAAGTAACCAAAATTCATAAAACAGTTTCATATTTGATAGACAAAGACAATATAAATACATAAATATCGCGGTATCTCCATGTGAAAGTTTAAATTATTTAGTGTTTCAATACATTTTCTAACCTCCCCTTTTAGGATAAAACGATGCGGTGAAAAATACCCATAAAAAGGAAGGGTTTGGCCTTAATGCTATCAAATTGAATAAATTGATAGATACTAGAATGTTAGAGGTGTCCGTTTAATTAAAATATTAAGAGTTGTACACTAGTCGGCTTTAACTAAAAAATTATTCAATCAATCAACCTCGTCACGTCTCCCTTTCCGAGATAAAATAAATATACCCACTGGTTCCCACCGACTTTGTTACACTAGAACATGAACCTCGTAATTCCATGACTAGGGAACAAAGTCAGTCCAGTAAAAAAGAAAACACATCGCATTAATTCTATTCCCGTTTAATTTTCGGTCCAACCAGAGCAATGTCTGAAACACATTTTTCAATGTCATTGAAACCCCAAGGGTGACTGGGGAATAGAAGTATGGTCACCATTGGTCTTCCTCCGACCGGCAGTAAAACCCTTCCTAAAGTGGGGCGTCCGTTTGGCTGTGCGTGATGTACAAATTTGCAGCCACGTCCGGTCAGAATGGGAACGTTAAATCCGAGGCCTCGTGTAAAGGGAGTGCCACGCTCTCCGCACGTTAAGAACCCTTACAACAACTCTTTGAGGGGTCCGTAGGTGACCTGTTACAAGGCTAAATTTCTGTCCCTATCCTATATACCCTAATTTCCCGTGGCAGTCTAAATTTCTCAGACCTTAATCCCGGACGCCCCTCTTACAGAACCTACCTACTAGTATTGTATTTATTGTTAATTTGTTCTCGTCCTAAATATGCATGAAATATTTGCCACTGAATGTTAAGCAACCAACAATCAATCAATCAATATCATTGACCAGTTCAAAGACCTTAATTAAAACATGCGATTATAGAAAATTCTATTTCAGAGTAAGGCACGAACAATTCCGAAAATTGACGACCGTTACTCTAAAATATCCCTCGGATTAACCATTCTTCTAAATATCGCTATCAAAATGAATCCCATCTCTTTATAAACCCGAAATCATAAAACATCTAGCCAGTGTACAACTCCTTTTATTTATTTTGGAACGGAAACGTAAATCATAATTTAGAAATGTTTGACTCTAAAACCGAAATGAAATATATCAAATGTAAAGAAATAAATATTTAAGTCAAACATCGAAATACAAAATAAAATAAAATTTTAAGTACAACTTACCTGTACGAAAGTTTCCCCAATTTAAAGAAATATTGTCCAGACTAGGTTTAAATATCCAAGTCTGGACATGAGTCTCAAGCACGAGAAAAACGATCCCCGCGAAAAAGTGACCGGACAACTATAGTTATATATAATATCTAAAAATAGAAAAAGGGGAATTTACGATGACCCATAAACGTTACAATATCCCCTACCCAGAAAAACAAATCGTCCGCGATTTGACAACAAAGTAAGACAATTTAAAGGACAAGACATGGTTGTCTTAAAACAGATGAAAATGTACATTGCATATAATTTAAAAGTTTAAAAAGTTATCCAAGAAGGTCCATACGGTGATGAAGGTCCTGAGTCCATACGGTGATGAAGGTCCATACGGTGATGAAGGTCCATACGGTGATGAAGGTCCAAACGGTGATGAAGGTCCACAATGTTCATTGATAAAGGTAATTTCTTCATAAGTTTCTGTTACTGATTGTGTACACTTGCAATATCTATATCTGATCCACTAGCACCAAGTTACAATGATACAAGGACATAGTTCCTTTCTTTTATCCTATCAAAGACATTGAAATCAGCCATTGTATTCATATCTTTATACAGAAGAGTTTGAGAATCTGCATCTTTTGAAGTTGCATGAGATAAATGATTCCAATGGCAATATGACAATAATGACAAATCATTACCAGAGAGTTCGTTCATCAGACTTGAACAAAATATCAATCTTTCGGATATTTGAGGTATATCTTAAAAATTTATTGATTTGTTTCAATATAAAAGACTCATTGAAACTAAAATAAATTTCACTGCTTTCCTTTGTTCTATCAGTATCTTAAGAATCAAATGTCTTATCAGTAGGACCATATATATTTGGTTGACATCCTTTACTAGTACCTGGTTCAGTGCTATCCATTTTTAGCTTTTTGGACCCAATATCACCCTTTTTTAATGACGACTATCTATTCGGGCGGCCTTGCAATATTACCTTGTTTGAACATAAGGAGCAATCATCACTATGCAACTCATAAAAGATTGGTGTTTCCAGACGACTTATATAAGAGCTTTCAGCACATTTCCTGCCCTTAATCTATAGAACTCCCGAGCATCAGTCTTTCATATACGAGCTGGAAACATTTCATTTACTTCATCATCAACACAAATACCCTTAGACTTAAGAATGTCTTCCTTAAACAGATTTTTAGGATAAGTCTGATAATTTTTCAATTCTTTTCCACATAATCTACAAATGCCTTGTAATCTTGAGGTACGCAAGGGATCATACACAGCCTTTACTTCATTATAAGAACATTGGGCTTCTAAGGTGTGTACAGGATCACAAGATCCTTTCCCTTCTACATCTGAAAATTGACCAGAATTACCTACAACGAAATACCCATTCACAATTTATTGACTGGTTACTGATTGGTGATAAACGCCACTTTTAGCGCTTTATGCTATCAAGTATGAGGCCTAGGGAATCTGTTATGCCCAGAAGGAACCACCAATCAGAAAAAATACATACAATCCACAAGAATTAAGATTAAATTCAAACCACAACTGTCACATGCAAAGGTTTAAACTCAAAATCTTGGCAATGAGAGGCTAGAGATACAATTGCTATTCTACATAATTATATATATATATATTCAGACCTTTGGTCGAGTATGGTTCAGACTGAAAAAAAAGGTCGAGAGCTGGTCAAGTATTGGTCGAGTACAGGTCGAGAATGGGTTAAGACTGTTTCAGACTGGTCGAGTAATAGTTCAGACTAATTTCAATAGCAAAGATAAGTACAAATCAGTACAGACGAGTATGGTTAAGACTAGGTCGAGTAATATTAAGTAAAATTCAGGCCAAATTAGACTGGTCGAGTAAAAATCAGTACAGTCGAGTACAGATATAGGCCACTTCAGACTTCTACTGGTTTGTAGTGTAATCAGTGAATACTCAGCCACCAAGGTCCCCTCAAACAAATGTCTTATTTAGCTCTTAGGATTCCAAGTATGTGTCTCTAGTACAAAATACTTTCTTACAGTATAAATTTTATTGCCACTCAGTTTGGGTAAATTTTATATTGTAAGAGAGAATAATTGCAATGAGTGGGGCAGCAACACTTGTCTTAAAGGAGCAAGCAAAGATACATCTAATATTTATTATTCAAGCTAACCATTCATTTTATCTACATGTTTGTGTAGTTTGGGTATGTAAGGTAA